GATGACTGTGCAAATACATATACAAAAGGTCTTCAGAAAGTTCACAGAAAATGTCTATTATGGAGAAACTAGGCATGGATTTAAACATAAGACCAGTTAGTGATAAGTCCTTGGAAGAAAGATAAAGCAGGACAGAGCGCTGATTGGACGGATGCTACTTAGCTTGAGCAAGGCAGACCTCTCTGAGGAAAGGACATTTAAGCAGAAATTTGAATGCTAAGACGGGGGAATAGCCTTCCAGGCCAGAGGACACCAAGGGCAAAAGCCCTGAGGTGAGAATGTACTTGCTATGTCCTGACCAGACCTGAGTGAGTTGTAATAGAAGAAGAAATGCAAACATTTCTTCCCTGCAAGACCAAACGCTCCCTGTGTTTCATAATAAGAAGAGTGCAAACCGAAAAACAAATCAAAACAAACCTCATGTAGTATGTGTTTCGAACTTTTAGCTTGCTGGTCTAAGAAAATGTGAATTGGTTGGAGAAAAGATGGGAGCCATTGCTTCCTAGGTAGGTAGGAACCTCCTGGGTAGGGAGATTGGGACAATGCTGGAAGAAGTCACAGATACACAATCCCTTAAGTGTGCCTACAGGAAAAGAAATGACAATCAAAGCTTTACTAAGATAGCTACCTCTTAATCACCAGATAGGCAAATACCTAAGACATTGTGCTGATGGAAAAGACAAAAGGCACAACCTTCATTGAGGTGCATTGAACTAGAAATAGCAAAATTGCATATATATCAGCTTTCTTTCTTTCTTTTTAACAACAATTTGTTTTATTTATAAGACAGAGTTACAGAGAGAGAGGGATAGACAGAAAGAGTGATCTTCCATCCACTGGTTCATCCCCAAATGGCTGCAAATGCCAGGGCTGGGCCAGATCAAAACCAAGAGCCAGGAGTTTCTTCCCAGTCTCTTACATGAGTGCAATCGCCCAAGGACCTGGGAGCTGGGAGCTGGATTGGAAGTGGAGCAGTCAGGAATCGAACTGGTGCCCATATGGATGCCAGCACTGAAGGCAGCAGCTTAACCCACTGTGCCACAGTGCCCACCCAGCATCTGCTTTCAACTTAGTAGATCCACTTCTGACATCTTTCCCAAAGAAATACAGTGGTGAAAATATGAAGATATGAGCAAAATCTACCCAGTGCTGCACAATTCATTTATTTGAGAAGCACAGAAACAGGAGTGAGAGAGAAACAAGAGCTTCCTACCAATCATTGGTTCACTCCCCAAATGTCTCCAATGGCCACAGCTAGGAGCTGGGAACTCAGTTCAGTTTTTTCATGTGGGAGGCAGAAACCCAATTACTTTAGCCAACACCACTGCCTCCCAGAGTCTGCATTTGCAGGAAGCTAGACTAGGAGTCAGAGCTGGGTAACCAACCCAGGCACTCCAAAATAAGATGTGGACTTCTTAACCAGCATCTTAACCCCAAGGGGTATGTGCCTCCATTACTGCACTATTTCAGAGAAAAAAAATTGGAGATGACCCAAATGTCTACCAATAGATTAGATTTATGGTCTTCCATAAATGCACATGATGGAATACTATTCAACTGTAAAAAGGAATAGGGCTATTTCTACATATTACTATGGAGTGATATTCAGGGTCATGTTTTCGTTCTTAAAAGTAAGGCAGAGAAAATGTGCAAAGCCTTTATTTAAAAAAGGGGAAAACTACATATATAGTTTTTACTATATTTTTAATGGGAGAAAGTAACAACAAAAAAGGCATATGGGAGGGATGGAGGAAATGTGGTACAGGAGAAAGGAATAGATGATAAATTTGTTTGTAGTTTGATTTAGGAACATATAAACATTTTGTCTGAGTATAGAACACAATTAAAGGGAAAATAATCCTTAGGAGTCAAAAGTAAAATGAAGCAAATGAACTTACTCTAGTTGGTGGAATAAACTATTTCAAAGGACTATATACAGCCTAACATTTTGCGCATTTTGTGAAGTGGTAGGCTCTACAGACAAGAAGGAACTGGGAAAAAATGTCAAAGTCCTCCTGGTGTCTTTAATGTTGTGATTCTGGGGCTGTTGTTCATATGGTATGGGATAAGGCACATGGCTGATTATGTTATTGGTAAGAACCAAAGTGTTTGTTGGGGAATAAAGGGGATGACAGATATGAGATGGATGGGTTTCAGCAAAAATCCTGTTGGCTTGAGTTTAAATTGAAATTATCAGTCTGAACTCATGATGTATGCTATCCTCAAAATACGTTTATATATTTCCTAGACCTGTCCACTGAAAAGGATTATAAACAATATCCAACTCAGTGCAAAGAGCACCTCTAAGTATAGAGATTGTGATCTTAAAATATATTGAAATGCTTACCAAATGGAACTGGGGCTCCTTGGAGAAATGCCTGACTCCTTATCTGGGGCAGGAAATGAACAGGATGAGCCTGGAACATCTTGTCACGCCAGACAACAGGGTAGCTCTCAAAGACTACTGGGATCTATCGAAAGGACTCAGGATCCAACCTGATTAGACTCCCACTAGCCCAAGATGGGTAATTTGAGCATCGACAAGATAAAGCTACAATGGGATGAAACCCATCAAATATGTCTAGTCTATGAGTTTATCAGCATGCTTTAAAATAACCTCAGTAATCTCTTTTGGAGCATAAAAGGCAAGCAAGCCATTAAAAATTTTAAAAATGTTAAAGTTAATAAAATAATCAGGGCCGGCGCCACGGCTCACTAGGCTAATCCTCCACCTTGCGGCGCCGGCACACCAGGTTCTAGTCCCGGTCGGGGCACCAGATTCTGTCCCGGTTGCCTCTCTTCCAGGCCAGCTCTCTGCTGTGGCCAGGGAGTGCAGTGGAGGATGGCCCAAGTACTTGGGCCCTGCACCCCATGGGAGACCAGGATAAGTACCTGGCTCCTGCCATCGGATCAGCGTGGTGCGCCGGCCGCAGCGTGCCCGCCACGGCGGCCATTGGAGGGTGAACCAACGGCAAAGGAAGACCTTTCTCTCTGTCTCTCTCTCTCTCTCACTGTCCCTCTGCCTGTCAAAAAAATAAAAATAAAAAAATAAAATAAAATAAAATAATCAGAGATGCAAGTGTTTATTTTGCTCGTCTTAAAAGCTGTATGACAAATAGTCCATGTTTATGGAAGTACTCCATGAATGCATGAAGAAGCCTCACTTTTGTAACTCCTAATGAGTGAATGACTTTAGGCACTGAGCACAAAAGAGAGAAGGCCAGACCTTATGTGCCCACTGACAGAAATACTCAACACCATCTAATAAGGGGCCTTGCCACACCTGAACCCCCTTGAGCCCACGGATCTAACAGGATCTCCAGGCAATAAAGAAACTGATTAAATAACACTATGTGGAGTTCATCAAGAAAATCTAGACTGGGGGAAATTTTAAAGGATTAATAGTATTGCTTCAGCAGCAGCAATAGCAAAAACTACAAGGAGGAAAGGAAAAAAAGAGATGGGGAGAATTCTGTAGACTAAGAGATGTTAGAGACATAGTTTGGATCCTGATTTAAATAAGCAAATGTTAAACAGGAAGAAGGAAGGGAACTGAATGCAGGATGGGGCTGAGAAGCCAGACTGGAATGGGAGGTAAGAGGATGTTGCAGTACAGAGGAAAAATGTGAACGCTGGCAGACCATTTAGTGGTACTAAGGACTTACTCTTGCTTTTTGGAGTGGGTGATGATAGGGGTTGTGGTTTTAAATGAAGAATACTTTGTATTTTAGAGATATATGCTGGAATATTTGCAGATGGGGTGATAGGATGTTGAGCAGTTGCTTCACAATGACCTTGAGTATAGAAGTGGGTTGGGGGCATGGAGCAGGCTTCTCAGACTTGACCTTGCTTCAGAATCACCTGCGGATTTGTTAAAGCAGATTCTGGCCCCACCTCCAAAGTGCCTGATTCAGTCTTGGGAAAGGCCCAAGAATCTACCTTTCTGACAAGTTCTCAAGTGATACTGACACTTGGTTTGGAGACCATAGCTGGAGAGCCACTGGCAGAGAAGAAGCAAGTTGGTCCTGTGTTAATTATGCTTGCGTCTGGGCAGTGGGTACACAAAGTACATTATTCTCTCCACTTCTGAAGATGTTTGAAATGTTATGTAATGAATAGCAAAAGCAAAGGTGAGCCAGGGAGACTCACAGAAGTGGCAGAGCCTTTGTCAAATGAGAGCAGTCATGGGAACTTCCATGCTCCTCAGCAAACGGCTTTGGTGGCCACTGCCACAGCCCCCTCTGGAATTGGAGAGTGTGCATTTCTTCCTGCCCAGGTGGAGGGGAGGGTGCCAGCTCAGCTGCCAGTCCTCTTAGAGAATTGCCTGACCTGAGGGGAAGGGAAATGGCTGTTGTGTAAGGAGTCAGTGCCACATTGCGCCCTTTTCTGTGGTGTGGTCAGTTATTAGAAGAGCAGTGGCTTGCACAGATCCCAAGCTTTCTGTCCATGTCAGCTGGAGAGCAGTGTCACAACTCAGTTCAGAGACTCTGGAGACTCACTGGACTCACCTGCCCCCATCTCCCCTCGCAAGGGCCTCCCTGTAACTCCTAGATCAGGAGGCATTTCTACCAGTTTCAGTCCCGTTCCTTGTCTTTTAAAATACATTTATTTATTTATTCATTCATATTTCAGACATTTATTAGGGTGCCTCTGAAGTATCAAGCCTCCTTCTAGTCCCTGAGGAATATAGCAGGGAATAGAACAGGCAAGAATATGTGCTTTTATGGGGATGAAATGCTAAATGGGAGGTAGGCTACAGACAAAGAATGGACAAGCTGTCTGAATTGAAAGCTGGATGGTAATAAGGAAGAGGCCATGAGAAGATCTGGATATTTTCAAACATAAGGAATGGAAGTGGTGAGAAAAAACTTGGAATTTTTTTTTATACTGGAATGGCCCATGGTGGTGGGGCTTGAAGAGTATTGGTAAGCCTATTGTGAGTTGAGGTGGGAGAGCCATCAGGGCCAGGGTGTGTTGGGACAGTAGCCGTTAACTAGGGTGCTTACATACCCTATGCACCTCTGAGGCTGCCATTCACCCCTGAGCCATAAAAAAGTACTTTTTCTCTGGAGAGATAGGTCACTATTTAACATGGATGTCCCCTAGGGCCTCTATCCTATAGGAAATGACCATATTGCATAGGGAGTTGGATTATATTGGTTAGCCACTTTGTTATTCAGTCTGTTAAAAGCCCAATCATTCTATTCTAGGGTCTCTGGAAAGTTCCTTTGACCCACATGGCATTTGCACATGATGTCTATCATTCTATCATAAACGCTCTATTTACTCAAAATTCTGTTCCCTGCTAAAATACAGGTTCCTCCAGGATGGATAACTCTGAGAGTTGTCAGTCATTTAATGCTAACACAGAGCAGTGCCTTTGGAAAGACATTTCAAAAATTGGAAAACAAAGTTTGTGGATGCCTGAGTAGCTGGAAGGCATCTCCAGACAGGAATCAAATCAGAAATGGAAAGCTGAGTCTGCTTCAGAGCAAACTGACTATTTCACAATTCCGAGTAGGACTCTGCTTCCTGGCCATACTGATTCTGTGTTGCCAAGGCTGGTCCCAGCAGGACTATTTTGTGTTTGTGTTTGTTTTGTTTTGTTCTTTGAACTAGCAAGTGTGTATCCTTTCTAGCACTTTCTAAAACACAGAATGTGAGCTAATTCAGAGCCCTTTAGGTGAACAGAGCAGTGATTAGAATGCACTGGTCTTCCTGTTGCTGTCGCTCTGTGATTGTCCATGTGCATGTACTAAGTGGATGCCAGCGCTGTTGATGGACTGTCACTGAGACAGGGCAGTGTTTCCCTAACTGGCAAGCAGTGATGTACTCAGGGGCTCTGCTAACACATTGATGCATCTCTTCCTAACGTGGCTCCCTGCGATTTCACACGTTGGTTGGTTGAAGCCAGCCACAATGAGACTATTTATACCACAGAAATGGGCAAATGCTACACATTGGACTTATTCTTCCCAGGAAGTTGACTGTGAAATATGTAGTTGCACGCCACTGCTATAAAACCTTAAAAAGTAAATTTTAGGATGTGCCATGGCATATGAAAAAATACTCATTTTCTTGTTTTGTGTTTTTGAACAGATGCCAGCAATATTCAAATCATATTCATTTCTGCATACACTTTACACTTTAGCTATAATTATGTAGGCATACGTGGGGTGTTCAAAAAGTTCACAGAAAATGCGTATGTCAAACTATGCATAGATTTCAAAATGCTGATGGGGACTGAGTAGGTTCAAGTGTAGAGCAATAAACACCAACCCAGGCACCTCTACCCTCAGTCTCCTACCCCTGTCTCATCTGCATGTAAAACTCGAATACCTTGTCCAAGCAGGTGTTAGAAAGGAAGCAGTCTATTAGAACTCATGAGCCTCGGATGGTCCCTGGAGTTGCCATTGCCCTCCTCTGGGGACGGATCCTACTGCGGTGTCAGTGAGCTCTATGTGGACCTGTGTAACAGAGGCTAAGACGAAACCTGGTCTGATTTTTTCTGTTGCTCGCTCCTACTGTGAAAGAAGATGTTCCTATTTCATTGATTTATTCATTAAACGCATATCGCCTTCTTGTGCCAGACCCTCTGCTCAAGGCTTCAGATGCAAAGGTGAATTAACCCTGGCTCTGCCCTTCAGGGCTTTGCTGCCAGGGAAAGAGGCAGAGAAAGCACAGGGACACGTTCACAGTCTCGGGCGAAGTGGAGCTTGAGGCTCTGCCACTGACCCACGTGAGTGAGTTTGCCCGTTCCACCCCGCCATCTGTCCCTCGTGAGGCTGAATCCCCTTCCAATAGACTGCTTTGGGTCTGAATGACCTTGGAGACAGCCTGAAATCCTGAGCGTGGAGGGGTGCTTTTATAGTTCCTGGTCTGCACTTGTGTGTGCTTCGAATAGAATTTCCACAAACCTCTAATTATCTCCTCTTACCAAGCTGCCTGAGTGACTGACAACCAGATCTTTAGTCACTCCAAGAATGGATTTCTGTTCAGCCCATGCCCGGGATGCATTAGGATGCCCAGAACATGTGTGGCTGCCCCGAGTGGCACAGAGCAATTAACAGAGGCCAAGCAATTTGCAAAATGCCTCAACTTCCTGCTCATCTCGGAGACAGAAAATTGTCAGACCTTAACCTCAGGAGGCTCCTCTGTAGAATGACCCAAAGCAGAACCTCTGGTGTCAGATTGTCCCCCATTTTTTTTTTTTTTGCAAACATAAGCACCCAGTTGAAACAACAGCTATGACTCAGTTCTTAGCTAATGCTGCCTGAATTGATTTAGTCTGAGTTCAGATTTAGCACATAATCATGTTCAATTTGCTCCACTGCACTGCCTAGAGATAAAAGGCTTGGGGAAAAAAAAAAAAAAGCTTCAGCTTGTGTCAGTCTTTGTGGTGATGTCATTGCCATGAACGAGCCCGGCCGTTCATTACTCTGCTGTGCCGACTCAGACGCGGACTGCGTGCAGTGGGAGCTGGCTCCAGGTGCCCGAGCCTCCAGCCAGTGCCTAGAGCAAGGCAGCAGCTGGCCTGGCCACAGCAGTATCTGTCTGGAGGCTCTTCTCTTCTCTCACAATTCTGAGGTTGCCTAACTCCTTTATTGAAAATTCAGGAAGGGGAATGCCAGCCCCTAGCATGGACTGTGATGTTTCCACTCTGGTTGCCTGTGCCGTGGATGTCGAGGTCTTTACCAATCAGGAGGTTAAGGTATGCACCTGCAATCTCATTTTTCATTGTTGCTGTTACTGATGTTGTTTGACAGAACCTTTTTAGCATAAGGAAATAAGACTTCGGTGAATAGTTTTCAGCTCACAATCTGTGCTAAAAATGCATGTGGGGAGTGCATGGCTACATTGATTAGAATAAGTTAGGAGAGAGACCAGTGTATGATTTTTGAGTGGGATAAGGTCTGTCATTGTCTGTTTGCTTCTTTTCTATTAGGTGATCCCCGGTCATCGTTCTCCCAGTAGACATGTTTCCTTATTCTTGTATGATATCTTTGTCAGTGAGGAGAATTTGTAAGTCTGTATTATCAAGGGGGGGTTTGGAAACCATGATTAAATGAGGAAAGTACGCATAATAAACACCGCACTCAGGACACTCTGACAGTGGGACAGTAACCCCTTCGTGGCATATCACTTAAATGTTCTGTGATATGGTCTTGGGCGTGAACAAAAGCTGCCATACAGATGGCAGTTGCAATCTCTAGCTCCCTGGAAATTGAAGTTGGAGAGCAGCTGCCTACATTTTCTTTGTCAGGCAAAGGAAGCAAAGTCATTTTCCTTGTAAAGAAAGTTCAGGCACAAATGCGTCTTGCATCTTAAGGTTTAGCGTCACAAGCGCCGGTCCCCAGCTTCTGCAGCAGTTGTTTGATTGTCAAGGGTAAATTGTCTTCTCGTGCTATTCATGCCCTTTTTTCCAGTTCAGTTTTATGTTATGTAGAAGATTCCCTGCTTGTAAAATGGGTGTATTTCTTTTCTCCTATTTCGTGTTAGAATTCTCATGAAGCTTCTTATTTAAACAGCACACACACATGTGCACACACACAAACACACATGCACACACACACAAGGACTGTTGTTTATGCAGGACAAAAGGGGGAATTCCATTGCATAATTATTTACCATTAATGCCTTAGTTCTTATTTGAAGGAAGAGCCTGCATCTGTATTGTTGGGTGTACAGATGACATTTGGTGTCTCACAGGTGGGGATTTGTGTGTTACTGGCATTTAAGATTGCAGTTTTGAATAATCTCTTCAGAGTCAGTGACATGGTTTGTGGTCCCTGCATATTTTAAACACGTGGCCCTCTATTTAATTCTTATGCTGGTGTTGTGGAAGTGTCTGCCACCTGTCATGCAAAGGTTCAGAAAATAAGAATATAAAAGGTTGGTACTACCTGTGGTTGCATTCAGCATAGAAACACGCATGCAGGAACTTCCAGTCTTCCATCACACCATAAGCCCTCCAGAAGGGAAAGGAGTCACCACAGAGCTCCAGTGTGGACACAGCTTGCAGAGCAGGGTAGGTTACAGAGCAGAGAAATACCTCGCGGCAACCACTGGAATAAGGCTTTCATGTATGGAGAATAAAATGTCACAGCCCCATTCTGTCCTCAACTGATCTGTGAGAATAGCATAAGATATTCTTAACTTTCTTGGTTTACAAACTTACAGTGACAAAACATTTGTTTAGAGACCTGCAGTGTCCCAGACATTGCGCTTCTCCAGGAAGGAGTTTAAAACATGTCTAGATGGTATCTAAGTGTGCTTTAAAAGAAATCCATGGAAAATGGAATTAAAGGATAAGTTAATTTTGGTGCACAAAGATTGTGAAATCCTTCAGGTGAGGGAATATTCAAAAAATTTATGTTTCAAAAGCACACCACACACGCACACACACACACAAAACTAGACATGGATCTCAGTTTTTAGCAACAAAATAAACTTGTCTTTTGTTCCATTTCCATGAACTTTTTGAAGTCCCTCGTATGTCCTCAGCATCTGCGGCAGTGGTTTGATTGTCAAGGGTAAATTGTCCTGTCCAGTATTTCTTAGACAGAATGTTTTGTGGAATGCAGGGGGTTCAGAGTTCTTACAGCTGGTTGTATTTGAGTGCTTGGGATGGTTTCATGGGGGGAAAAGTGGCACTTGAACTGAAAATTGGGTAAATTTTGTAGAGAGAGAGGAAGGTGCACCATTGCAGTTGAGTGAGTCAAACCATTTGATGGCAGTAGGTTCTCTGTGAGGAATGAGAGGGGAACCAGGGAAAGAGAGAAGGTCAGAGCCAGATCCTGACACCGTTCTTCAGAAATGTATAGAGTTTTCCTGGGAAGATGCCCATCAGAAAAATGTGTCCCAAGACTTTTCTGCCAATGGCTCTGAATCATCATGGGTTTGTTTCTTTTGGACCAGATGCCCCATCTTTCTATCCCTTAGTGTTTCCATCTATGATGTGAAAATCATAAAAATGTCTACCTCATTGGCCTCGTAGGAAGATTAAAGAAAAGTGTATACATCAAAGAGGTGAACCACTGCCTGACTCACACTGAGTGCTCCATAAATGTTGTGTGTCACCATCACCATCATCATCGTTTAGACATCCTCTGAAGGTGACAGGTTACTTTTGCCAATTTACTGGTGTGTCCTAACTCCAGCGGAGCTTACATTGATGATCCATGACACAGAAAATGTTTTCCTTCCAACCCCATTCCTCCCACCCAACACACACTCCCTAGCAACCTGGAAAACATGGCCTTCCATTTCAGACATTTAGTCATAATGTAAAGCAGTGGCACTATTATCAAGGCTTTGTTTTTAAAAAGAGGGAAAGTGAACAAGTTAAGTTGGACCAAAGGAATTTGTTAAAAAAAAAAACCCTGTATATTCCTTGTTCAAAACTGACAATTGCATATTGTTGTGAAAAGAAGTTCAAAAGTAAAATTCTGGGCACCCCCCCCCCCAAAAATCCCCACAAGTATCTCCTTCTTCATTCACTGCCAGTGAAGGGTAAGCAGGGGAACCAGTGCAGTCCTGTTTTTCAGTCTTTAATATTTACTGTCAGAGAAAAGAGAGGTGCATGGCCAGGGTCTACCCTTCCTGCCTGCATCCAGGCTGATCTCAGGCTGTTCTTTCACTTGAGCCCCCCAAGAAAGCAGCCAGTCCAAGAAGGTGCAGCCGGAGGGCACCCTTCACCAACACAGTGGTAGAGGCCTCTCTCATGGTGACCTGGAAAGCCTCATCCTCCATGGCTGACCTAGCCTCCAATTTCCTAAAGTTTGTGGAAGCTACCCCAACAGTGGTGCTAAAGAGAGGAGGCATTCTGGCAAATGGGATCCCACCATATTCATCTTTGGAAATTGCACTGCTTGGTATTATCAACTTAGCTATTTTGTAGCACCAGAGTGCTCTGAAAGATCTAGAAACCTGAACCCCTCAACAGAAGGAAAATGATGTGATGAAATGCAGAGTTTGTATGTGTAGGGGGTCGATTTTCCCCAGTACTCTTTTCAGATTTTGAAAATAGTCTGCCCACTCTACAGGAGCCAAACCCTTGGGAAAATGAAAGGGATTTAAAGATGATAATGAAATTTACATTTCACTTTATTTCAGTGGTTCTTAAACCTGATGGCACATTGGTAGCCCTTGAGAGTTTTTAAAAATATTGATGATACTCAGGCCCCAAGCCCAGAACTTCTAACACAGATAGTCTGAATGCAGCCTTGGCACAGGTTATCATACAAAGCAGTGTCCTGCCTCTTCTGGGCACAGGTTGGAATTGTCAAGGCCAGCCAAAAACTGCCCAGAGTAAGCTGTGTATCTCTCACAGTAGGATTTGCTGTGTGCAGCTTTAGAAGCAATATTTCTGGGCTGTTATAAATGTTCACACTCACTCAACATTTTTTTGACCAGTTCACCAGACCGGCAATTCTTCCCCCCATTCTGAGCCCTCAGTAAGCTTGCTCTTTGCTGTTTGGCAGCTGTGGGCAGTCTTCTCAGAGCTACAGTGGCTGCCTGAAGCACAGCACCTCTGCTTCTCCAGGGGGCATCCAAACCTGGGGCTGCCCCTTCTCTGCAATGGTAGCTTCCAGAAGTGGTGGATGCCTTCTCTCTGTGATGGGGTTCCTGGCTCATGCCCCAGGCATCCAACCTTGTCTGCTCATTAGAACACAGGCAGGAAATGTGACAAGTCCTGTGAGAAGTACAAAAGTTTCAAAGGCCCTTAGAGCTTCAGAGATGGGTTTATTCATTCAAAAACACGTGGGGCACTATCTCCACGGCAGTGCTTTAGGAGACTGGCAGGACAGACATCCCTGCACTGCTAGAACACACATTCTAATGTGGGAGACACATCCTGAACTAGTGAACTAATCAGCATACAATGAAATTTCACATTGTGATGAGGACTGGGATGGAAAACCAAGCCCAGTGAGGGTTAAAGGGTTGGTAAGGGTGGAGAGGCTACTTTTGAGTAGATGGCTATTGAAAGCGTCTCTGGCGAGGGGAGTTTATTGTTATTGTTCCAGTGTCATTCAGAGGTCTACAGGAAGTGAGTGAGATAACCATGTGTAGATCTGAAGGAGAACCGTTCCATCGAGAAGGAATTGCAGGTGGAAAGAGAGGTCCTCAGCCCCCAACTCCCATTTAACCTGTTTCCAACATTCATTCACTTATGCAGGGACCCACTGAGACTGTCACTGTCTCATGCCATAATTCACTTTCAGAAAATTGTACTTAACCTAATTACCTCAGGCTATATTTTAAGCCTGTTGGATGTCTTGGGAGAGGGAGAAAAATAAATAGAAGTTTATGTTCTATATACTTCTTCCAAAGGTTATAAACGTAGGATTCTTATAGTTCAGGTCTTATTCTTCTGGAAGGCCAGGCTCTTTTTTCTTTGCTTTATTTTTGATTGCTGGGGAAGAGTTGAACATGCTTGTATTTATGGATTAAGATGTGATGTTTTGATACATGTATACATTGTATAATGATCAAAGCAGAGTCATTAGCAGGTCTATCACCACAACATTTGTCACATTTCCTTGTGGTGAAAACATTCCAGGTTCTCTCTTCTAGCACATTCTAAAATGCACAATTCAGTATTTGTTAACTCTAGTCACCCTGCTTGGCCATAGAACAGCAGAACCTGTTCCTCCTATCAAGCTGCAGGTTTCTACCCATTCACCAACCTCTCTTCCCCTCTCTCCC